CATTGAAGCTGCAGGATTTCACAAAAGCCCGTCACAGAGGTTCATTCGGAACCATGATGTTTACGGGTGGAAAATTCCGCAAAGGTGGAGCAATGCCGACAGTGAAAGAGGGGATGATCCATGTAGTGTAGACGAACTAGACCAAGCCTTGGATGACGTTGATGTCGTCGAGATATAGTAGTCCTCCACGAATTGTAGACCTCCTGTCAAAAGTGATGCTACTAATAAAGAAAAGACCGATCATTATTCGTAAAAATCCGTTAGTAGGAGCGGGGCACCCTACTGAGGTAAAACTGAGTTCTGTTTAGCCACAAAGAGCAGGGCCCAGCCCCGAAGAGCTCCGCGCTTTTGAACATGAAACGTGTATGCAAGACGGACTTTCTAGTCGTGAAAGCGACCGTAAGGGCTTATTAGAAGCGCGATTGAGTGACACCGTCACTGTTTGCTTAGCGACGAGGACATGTTCCACGGTGCCGAGGGTCCATGTGGACCTCGGTGTCAAGTTTTCATAATTTTATAGCGTGGAACGCTGCTTAGTTTTAGACTTGGATTCAAGGTATGATCTCATCCTTGGTATAGCCTGGCTTAAACACCATGAGCCATAGATCGATTGGAGTTGAGAACCTTGGTCGCTAAACGCAGGTGGGTTATAAAAGCACCTGTGCAAGGAGGCAAAAACGCTATTGGCGCCGGCACTGGACCGGAATGGTTAACGTGCTGGGAATCGGAGATACGAGTTGTCGAACACCGATGGTGTATTGGACAGGAGTCCCGAGCATTGCTTGCTTTCTGAGCGTGGAAGGGCAAGTAACCCACTGGGCGCTGTTTAAGTATTTGATTGGTTGCTGCATGCCAAGATTGGCATGGTCAGACGAGTTTCGAGGCATCATGGGCAAGGCCCTTGTGATGCACGTGGAGTGGAACAAAATCGACTGAGCACTGCTCGCGTATCAAAGCAGTTGCTGCATGCCAAGTGCGGCATGGTTGGACGAGGTCCGACATATCTTGGGTAAGGCCCTCCTGATGCGCGTGGGGTGGCACGTTGCCCACTGGACAAAGACTGTGGAAATAGTCGGATGTTGTTAATAACCTCAAGGATCCGATGGAGCAGACACTGGACGGTGCCGGGTGCGTGTTCCCACTTGTCTCGATGAGAAGTAAATCCTCTATAGAGAGGAGATGGCAAAGCTGTATGCTATCTGCTAGACGCAGGGCTTCGATTTTGACCCACGATGTGCCTACCGTAGACAATAGCGCACAGCTATATACCCTTGTCGATCATATGGCGGGGGGGGATGAAGGCGACGTCACCCTCGAGGCTATATCCGCGGTTGATGCTCTTCTTGAACTGGACAAGATGTCTCTCAAAGAGTTCATCGGAGCCTTGAAGGAAGGCGATCTATCATTTTACGACCGGAAGAGGATGCCGATCGGCAAGTGGCATATCATTCACGCTTACACACTTACGATAAGCTCAACGCTGCGACCATTCCGACACAGACCCCGATTTCTAGGAAGGATGCTCTCTAGAACAACATGGTTGGATGTACAAAGTACTGTGCATACGCTCGGTAGGCCTGAATAACTGCGTCACAAGACGATTAAATGCTGCTGGTGCATTCGACAGCCCTTAAAACATCACCAGCCGCTCCCAGGGCATGCCACTTGGAGTACTCACTGCTGTCAGCGAAATATCACTCGTTTTCATGATTAATTGGTAATACCCATGGACCAAGTCGAAGGTGCTGACATACTTCGACGACATCATCATCCACAGTCGTGCGGAGCACCAAAGAACGGATGAAGAGAACCACATCGTTCATTTGTGAGAGCTTGTTAGGTGCATGCGCACGAATAAGCTGTATGTTAATGCGGACAAGTGCATCTTCGGCGCCGAAGAAATCCCCCTCTTTATGGTGCTTCATTGGGAAGCATGGTATTCGAGCGGATCCCGCTTAGGTCAACGTCATTGTGATGTGGCCGGTTCCAAAGAACCAAAAGGACTTGCGCAAGTGGCTTGGCCTCGCCAACTACT